CCTTTCTCTTGTCCCTCCTGCTTCCCCCCCCCTCCTGGCCTTCGGCAGATCTTCCTCCCTGCTTCTGCTCCCTTCTCGGGGCCTTCCTCCCCACAGGGCTGCTCATTTCCTCCTTCCCTCAGGCAGGCCTTTGTGGGCCCCGGCCCGAGTGGGACTCACAACCCCAGCCTGCGAGGCCCTTTTCCTTGTCCACCCCCCCCAACTCCCTGAAGGCTGGTTTCTTGGCCCCCCTTGTTTTGGAGGGCTGCGCGATCGGGCGAGGAAGAGAGATCTCCTCCGGGTAACCCTCCTTCACGTGTGGATCTGACCAGTGCCCGAATCGGCTGTGGCCCTCGCTAAGGGATGGCAAATCCGGCTGGGCCTGTGGGTGAGGGGGTGGAAAGAGTCCTTCTGAACCCCCCCCAGGCGCCCCTTTGGCCAGAGAGGTGGGGGGGGCTTAACTCTCCTAGAGGCCCCTCACCCCCAAATCTCTCTTTTCACGACGCCCACCACCCACATGGATGTGGTGCAAGGGCCGCCTTATGTCCATCCGTTCCTTAGTGTCTTTGCCAAGCTTTCCCTTTCTTTCTTTCTCTCTCTCTTTGAGCATCAGCCCCTCTGTGGACACTTTAAAATATCAGAGTTAGTCTTCGAGGTGCCACATGTTTTTGTTTGGTTTTGTTTCTCTGGATTTCGCTGGGTCCTCTTCTCTGTCGTCTTGCCCACTTCTGCAAGCTGTTCCTGAGATTTTATAAGCTGGCAGGCTAGGCTCTTCACCTTCTTCTTGAACCTCTCTGTAGGATTTTGCTCTTTTGCTTTCCTTTTAGGAGCCATCCTCCTTTTAATTGTATCTGATTGTTTTTCTGCCATCTCTTTTCTCCCCTCACCCTTTTCCCCCTTCTTGGATGCTTCCTCCTCCTTTGATATGCCTGCTTCACAGCCCCGCCCCATACTGTTTGTACTTTTAAGGAGCTTTACCCCTACATAGCTAGCACTTTGAAGTGCTGAGATAGTAGCCTTACATTTTGTCACTGATCCTGGTATTTGTCCTGTAAAGGTAGTCAAATAACATCCTCCTTCCAGGATGTTGGATAGCATGGCATACCTAAGGCTGTTTGGTGAAATCAGGGCTGAAATTAAGCTGGAAGTTGGAAGTTTTGGCTGCAGCTGCAATCCTTCATCAGCTTCCTGTAGATATTTCTAACTGTAGATGTTCTCTCTTGAGGAACTGAATTTTCAGTTGAAGCCACTTCTTACTTGCTTGATCTTGTTGTGTGTATTGGAATACTGTATGTGTAGAAAATACTTCTTGAACTTATGGTTCCCTGAACTTTTGCCTAGTTTGTGACTCATTTCCCTAAGGTGTGTTTTTTCCCTTTGTTCTTGCAGCAGCCAGAAAATTTAATTTGTATCCCTCTCTGTGTCTATGATAAGGTAGACACAGGATCAATTATATTGTAGGATTTGAGGTTTCTCTTTTCTTTCTTAGAAACTAAACCCCCTTTTCTGTGTTCCTCTGGCAAGTTATCTCTTGATTTTAGTGTTCTGTTTAGCGCACATATTAATATTTTTAAGAGGCTAGATGTTTTCTCCCTACTCTGTTTCTCTGTGGTCTTCTTTTGTTCTAACACATGGTTCTATTTCTCTGTTTCTTCCTGATGCTGAATGCTGGTGTTACACAGTTTCCTTCAAAAACCAAAATGCTGAATTTATCATATGCTACACTCTTCTGTTCAAAGTTTATTTTTCTTTCTTGAAAGGCCTTGATACATATGCTGTGCCCTTGAAAATTTCTAAATGGAACTAGCCACAAATAGTTTCAAATCATTCACTGGACATTAAACACAAAACAGATGTAGAAGATAGAGGCAAAAAAGAAGAAGAAAATAAATTGTGGTGGGAAATTATGATAATTAAACTTTTAAATGAACACAACCTGTGTGGTAATGTAGATTACATTATTGTTTTTTTTCTTGCATATAGTGACTTGAGATGCATGTAAACTACAATTGTTTGCTTTATTCTACGGGCTGAGCAAGTGACAGTATTATCTATTCTCTTTTCTTTATCTTACTATATGCTATGATATGACAGAGACCGAAGGGACAAGATAATAAAGGTAAGGCAAATTCTGATCAGAAATAGATTTCTTTGAAAGCAGATTTAAAGTGAATATATGCATGTCAATTTTTACTTCTCACTGATAAAATAATGGGTTTTAAAGACTCTAACACATTGTGCATATATGCAAAAACAAGGCGTGCTAATGTTTAGTGGGATTTACTGATAAGTAACAACTCAGTGCTTTATATGTTGACTCATATATGAAAATAGCATTGGATTCATTGCATCCTATTCCCAGATAATAGGGTATGACAGCTTTTCCCCCCACCTGTTGCCCTCCATTTGTTTGATCTATAAGGCCCATCATCCTAAACAGCATGGATGATGGTCATGCATGAAGGGAGTTGTAGTCCAAACAGCTGGAAGACATCATCAGATTGGTGCAGTATTGCACAGTGTTCATTTCTTAAACAGATTAATTTATTTAATGGATTTATAGCCTATTTTTTAGAATATAAATTGGGTTGGCAAGGTATAGTGTTCTGTATTTTCTTGGTTTTCCAGATTCTTCCTCAGCCATTCTTAGTGTGAAGAATGCTGGAAATCACAATGCAGCCATACCTGAAATGCTCATTTGCCCACCTCTGCTGTAAACTCTTATAGAGTGTATAGCAACATACATAATCTGTCAACTGTTTGTGTGCTTCTTCCTCAAACATTCATCTCTTACTCATTTTTTAAAGGTGCACACTTCCTTCTCAGGCTAGTTGTCTTTATCTCTATATAAAGTAAGAAAAATAAAAAGTAAAATTTCAAAATTATGATAATTTTGTATTGCATTTAGGTCATTTCTTCTTTTCTCACCAAAATTATGTACTGGATAGTTACAGGAGTATGGGTCTTGACAGTTGACACAACAGTGCTTCCCCCCCAACCCATTTTTGGAACACTTACTAGCTGAAATCCTGTTGTGCAGCTCTGCTTGCCTAATGGGGGTAATGTCAATACCAGCATCAACCAGCAAGGTCCCTGAGGTGCGCAGCTGCATGAGCACACAGTATTCTACCTCCCTCTGTACAGTGTTCTTCCTCTGCGTACCCCACAGCAAGTATTTCTAACCCCTTTGGTTGTGGTCACAGCAGACTCCTGTGCAGACAGGAAGGGAGTGGAGTTGTGCATGTGAGGGACAGAGTCCTGCCCAGTAGGGCAGAAAATTAGAGGGAACATTGCAAGCGGTAGGTGATTTCAGGGTGCTTGTTATTTTATTTGTCATTACTCATATATCGATGCAAATGCACCTTGAAATCACCAAAAGAAGTCTTGAATTACCAATTTGATGATGATGTCAACACCATTGTGCACACAGAGTGGTGCAACAGGAGAGTTCGGCCAATGTTTGTTGTGTAGCTCAAAGGGCAAAATTGAAAGATTATGTATAAAACAGGAAAAAAATAGTTGATGGATTCAGAGACCCTCAGAAGTAACTCTACTTTTTCTCCCTCCAGAATCATGGACTTGTATCCCATTTCTTTATATTCTTAATACTTGGAATTTTGTAGGGTTTTCAAGCCTATGCTTTTGTAGTTTTTTTGTAGAAACAGATTTGAGAACTTCAATGAAGAGAACATAGCACAAAGTGTAAAAAAAACAACAACCCAGAATTATCTCCATAGGTAACTACTCAAGTCATGCCATATAGGCAATTTTCTATCATCCACGGTGCATCTGGCCACATTTCAGCTCAGAGATTATTATTTTAAGTCTGCTGAAATCAATAGGCTTCAATATGCTTGAGTCAGTTTGGATCTGTGTCCTTCCTTTTGGTTTAGCTGGAGTCATTGGAGTTAGAATATCTCTGTTACTCCTTTGTGTTGCAGAAAATACTCATTGATAATCTCTTTCAGGAAAACTTTTCACATTAATAATAATCTTACTGAGGGCCCTGTTGAAAGTTTCCAGGGATTTTCTAGGATAGTGGGTCTCAGCTTTTGACACTCCAGATGTTTTGGAGTTCAACTCCCAGAAGTCTCTACCGAATTACTCAATCGTCAGTGAGTTTGACAGTCAAAATGTCTGGAGGGCCAGGCCTTGCAAACCACCGACCTATTATCCTGAAAGACAGTGTTACTACTTGTTAAATACCAACAGTGAGCTGCATCTAGTCCAGAACAGAATTGGGCATAACGCAGTCCACCAAACCTATTCTTGCAACACCTGAAGAGCTCCATAAGTTTTCCATTTAAAAAAAGCTACCAGAAAAGCCACTGAGCAAAAGGCACTACACCTTGTAGCTGCTTTTCCATCTTATCTGCAGCAGTTTTAAACCTGAAAACATATTAAATGTATTTATTAATTCACTGCAGTTTACAGCATCCATGCAACATTTTTGTGTGTGTATTTTCCTTAATTGACTTATTGATACAGAACATCTTCACTTGGATCAAGTACTTCCTGGTTTTTGACTAGGTGAGTTGGCAGTTGGAAACCAGGAAGTATTTAGTTTGTATAAAGAATCAGTCATGTAAATAAAGGTTGAAAAAACAGTAATACATTTTATATATAAATAAATCCTTTAAAACCAGCTAACCATTAAACAACCTTAAACAAGCTTGTATTGGTTTAAAATAACTGCTGTTGATGCTGCTGCTGATGATGATAAGAATTATAATAATAAATAGTAATAAAGTGAAGCAAATCCTAGCATCTTTTAGTTCTTCTCTTTCTTCTTCTCCTTCAGAACTACAATGTTTTTATAATTTTGATTGACTGTATCTGGTATTATTATTATTATTATTATTATTATTATT